CTGGGGGTCCTGGGTCACTCCACCAGCTGGGCTAGGGTGACTGGGGTCTTGCTTGCACGACACTGACCAGGCTAGGGTGACCAGGGTCCTGGGTCACGCCACTGGCCAGGCTAGGGTGATAGGGGGTCCTGCCTCCATGCCTCCAGCCAGGCTAGGGTGACAGGGGGGTCCTGGGTCATGCCACCGGCCAGGCTAGGGTGATGGTGGGTCCTGGGTCACACCACCTGCCAGGCTAGGGTGACTGGGGTCTTGCCTACACACCACTGGCCAGACTAGGGTGACCAGGGTCCTGGGTCACGCCACCAGCCAGGCTAGGGTGATGGGGGGTCCTGCCTGCACGCCACCAGCCAGGCTAGGGTGACAGGGGGTCCTGGGTCACACCACCTACCAGGGTAGGGGGGCCGGGGGTCCTGGGTCATGCCACCGGCCAGGCTAGGGTGACTGGGGTCCTTGGTCATCTGCATGCTGGTCCCCATTCTAGGCCCTTGAAGCCCAGGTCCAGTGAGTCTCCTGCCTGGGTCAATGTTGCAGCGTCATCTGCTGGGCCTGAGAAGGGGGCACCTGGGACCTCACGTCCTGGGCCACATGTCCTAGCGGGAACCCGGCTCCTGCCCCCCCAAGGGTCCTTCACATTCTCCACCCACCGTGCCTCCCTTTTCTGTGATCAGTTCCCAGTTTTCCTTCTTGCAAACAGTGAAACTTGCAAGAGTGGAAAATCCCTCTTTTGGGTACAAGCAAAGGGTTTATAACTAAGAAGCACCAGCCCTCAGTCTACTCAGAACCAAGTTAACTAATTAAATAAGCTCACTGCCTTTTAAAAATTCATGAAAGTTGACACAAACACGACACTACAAGCAAATTTGCAGGCCATTATTACTCTTGGAGGCTGGAACTTTCCAGTTCATGTCCTTCCCAAAGGTGACTTTTTATGGAAGCTTTAATGAAATTATCCATTTCTGAGTCAGGAAGCAGAGATTAAAATCCAATTTTTATAGCTCGACTTTTTTCTAACTATGCAGAGGGAATGAATTCAGGAAAATGTTTAGAATTTCCCCTAAAATGTACAGCCTGAGGAAGATCACAAACTTGGGAATCCTTGAGACAAAAGGGTGATAGGGAAGTCAAGTTCATTACCTCCCCCAGCTGTGACCAGCAGGGCCACCCACTGGCAGCATGAGGGCTCCACAGACCTGATGGGGCATCCCCCTGCCTTGGGGCAGGGAGAGGGATCGGGCACAGTGCAGGAGAAGCACTCTGCTCCTGGTTAAGAGGAAGCATGCATTCAGGCGGACACCGCGCCGATACCTGAACTCCTGGAAACAACAGAACCAAAGTCTTTACAAGGCCACCAACCCTGGCCTGGCTGGACACAGCTGTACCCGAGGAAGTGACCAGAGAGGAAGTGACCAGTCCCCTATCAGTGTCCTAAAGGCAGATGGAAGCCTCTGTGGGAAGAAGGTGAACAGAAAACCCTCCTGAGCAGCCCCACACCTGGCTCAGCTGTCCACATGGGTCACTTAGGAAGCCCCGGGCATGGGGAAACCCTGGGGACAGGTATGGGGTCCCTGGAATGGGGGGTGGGGACCCCATAAAGGGAATGAAGACCCCACAATGGAGGTGGATACCCCAGAAAAGGATTGAAGACCCCACAATGGAGGATGGAGACCCCACAGTGTGGATGGATACCCCTACAGTGGGGAGAGGCCCCAGAGTGGGGATGGAGAGCACACAGTGGGGGATAAAGACCCCACAACGGGGATGGAGACCCCACAATGGGGACAGAGGCCCAGGAATGGGGATGGAGATTCCCACAGTGGGGATGGAGAGTGCACAGTGGGGATGGAGATTCCCACAGTGGGGATGAAGGCCCCACGGTGAGGATGGAGACCTCACAATGGGGTGGACACCACACAGTGGGGATGGAGACCAGACATTGGGAGTCAGGGTCTGAGAGTTTCTGAATATGGGTCCGTGAGCCCCCAGCATCCCCAGGCCTTCGGAGAGGTCCTGTTATGCCTTCCTGGAACTCTCTCCTTTGTGAGCACAGACGGGGCTGGAGAACCGGCAGCACCAGCAGGGCCTGCGGTTCCAAGACGAGGGCCTGGACTCCACACCAAGGTCACACCAGTGCTGAATGGCTGCTTTTGCTGTTTCACACATCTGCATTTTTCCTACCTAAAGACCTGATGCATTTTCAGTAAGACTTGGAAACCTGGACAGTAAAACCCTCTCAGGGATAAAGGCTTGTCTACAGCCATACCATTCTGAATGCACCTGATCTGTTCTGACCTCAGAAGCTAAGCAGGGTCAGGCCTGGTTAGTACTTGGATGAGAGAGAAAATCTTTAGTGAGTCTGTGCGTCAGCCCCAGTGGGGGCTTGGTCAGGTCCGCGGTGCCCCCACGGCAGGGCCCTGGGGCCTGGTTAGTGCTTGGATGGGTGAGAAAAGCTTTAGCGAGTCTGTGCATCAGCCCCAGTGGGGGCTTGGTCGGGTGTGTGATGCCCCCATGGCAGGGCCCTGGGAACGGTGAGCTCATGGGCCCTCCTTCGGGGAGGTGCAGGGCCCCTGTGGGATGGAGCCCTGGGAGGCACTCAGGATGGAGCCCTCCCCGGAAGGCACTCAGGAGCGGCCGACAGACACCTGAGGGCCTGACCCTGAAGCAGAAAGCTGGCCGCAGCCCCTGGTCTCCCGAAGCCCCTGAGGACTCAGCACCCAGGAACCGTGGAGTCCACGGTGGCTGGGAACCACGTGCCCTGGGCCCCACACCGCAGGTCCCGGCAGCTGGAGGTACTGATGTTTAATGTAGAAGTAGTGTCACTGGAAGGCTTCCCCAGGGACTCAGCAGTAAGGAATCTGCCTGAAATGCAGGAGCCACAGGAGATGTGGGTTGATGCCTGGGTTGGAAGATCCCCTGGAGGATGGCACGGCAACCCACTCCAGGATTCTTGCCTGGAGAATCCCATGGACAGAGGAGCCTGGTGGGCTGCAGTCCATGGGGTCACAGAGAGTCGGACACGACTGAAGCGACTGAGCACGCACACATGTCACAGGAAGCCCCTGTAGAACTGTCACTTTCAACTTCCACTTGGAATGGAGGAGCTGGGAAAGTGGCCCACTTCACACAAAGAACCACATAACCCCTTGAGTTTCCCCATTTTCCTGCACCCATCAGAGATCCAAGGCCCGGGCAACCATAACCCGAGATCCAGGGAAATACAGGTGCTTTGAGGAGGGATAGGAGATTGTGGGCATGGGAGGGACTCAGACAGAACTCAGGCCCAGTTCTGCAAGTGGGCCAGTGGGACACGCAGGAGAACGCAGGACTCCTGGTGGTTGCAAGAAGTGTGAACCTGGGGATCCGTGGGGGCCTCGGGGCTGGCCACGGGGAGGGGGCACTGGCAGGGCAGGGCGCCAGTTAATGGGGGAGGAGCCCAGACCACAGCTGGGGAGGGTGGGGCCTTCTCAGTGCAGGACTGAAGTAGCAAGGGTCCCTTCGACAGCTCCATGATGGGGCTGCCTCTATGCGGCCTACAGACCACACCAACCCCCTCGCCTCCTCCTGGAAGCCCTCCAGCCAGCACAACACTCCTGGTGACCCCCCAAATTCCTGTCCCCATGGCACCCACCATTCTCTGCTGCCCTCCAAGCCTACTTTTCCAAAAATGCTTCATAAGCTTGTGCCTCCAGCCATGGTGGGGCAGGGGGGTCTGGGTGATTTACTGGGGGACGAACCTGGGCTGGTGCTGGGCAAATTCCAGCCCAAGCTGTCAAAACTCTGCCCATGTCCTCACCCTATGATTTCCCTGAGCCCGCGTGTATGTGTGTGGGGGGTGGACACGTGGGTGTCACAAGGAGCAAGGACCTCCCCACCCCCAGTACCAAGCCTGGGTCAGCAGACACAGCCCTGAGTGCTCAGCCTCCCTCGGGGACAGAGGTCCTTTCCACGAGGGACAGCTCGGCTCACTGGGGTCAGTACCACCCAGTGTGCCGTGCGCACCCCTAACAGGGGTCCAGCCCCAGATCGGAGCCGGACACAGGGGAGGGGCCGTGGGACCCCGGGAGTGGGACCCAGACCCTGTCAGCACCCTCACACAAAGGGGGCTCCAGGGCCAGCCGTGGCGGGAAGACTGGGGTTCCCGCTCCAGGAGACAAAGGGAAGGCCGGGAGGGCCCGGTGCCAGGCTGGTCGGCGCTGGCCCAGCTGGAGGGTGCAGTGAGCGGGTCCCTGGGGGTGTAGAGGTTGAAAGCAGCCTGAGTCCTCAGGAAAAGTTCCCTCCCAGGCCGAGAAAGCCAGCAAGGCACAGTGGCTGCCACACCTCAGGCACGTCGGACGCACGCACATCCCCAGCCCCGCAGCGGGGCCGGCACTGTATGGCCCGGGTCCCTGTGGTTCCGGGCCACAGCCTCAGAGGCTGGCCCTCCTAACCACAGCCCGAGGTGGGTTTCGGCCACAGGAGGCTGTGCACGCATTGACTCCCAGAGCCTTGAGCAGAGCGTGAGCCTGTGGTCAGCTGCTGTCCGCCACCCCCTGGTGTCCACACGTGCCCACTGTAAACACTCATCTTACCTCTGCCCGAAGACAGAATAAATGCACAGTTTTGTAAGAAGCTCAGACTTGGCTGAGGGCTGATGGCCGAAGGCTGAAGTAGGCCGGTGAAAACCACATTTCTTCCCCAGTAGCTCAGCCAGGCCACGCGAAGAGTAAGGCTTGCCCAGGGGCACCAGGCAAGAGCAAGTACCCAGCGCATTGCAAGGGCCTGACGGACACACCAGCTGCCCTGCACCAAGGGGGGCCGCACCTGGCCCAGCACAGCATCCCCAGGCAGGTGAGCCAAACAGGGGGAGAGCCGGCCCCAGGCCCCTCCCCACCAGAGCTGCTCTGGTCAGTCACACTCAGCACTCTGCCTCTAAAGGGTTCCAGACAAGAAGCGAAGACAGGCCCATCCCGAGGAAGCCAGGTGGGCCCAGGTGAGGCCCGGGCAGACAGAGGTGAGGGTCTTACCTTGGAAGAAGCTCTTCACCCTGAGGTAGCTGACACTGAGGCGCAGGACGGAAAGCTTGTCGAGCTTAGAGATGATGTCGGGCGGCAGCGGCAGCAGGCTGGCCAGGTGGTCCAGCTCGGCATTGAGGCGGTCACGGTGCCGCTTGGAAGGGTTCGACTTCTCGGCACCCACAGCAGGCCTCCTGTGAGGGGAAGACCTCAGTCAGGCTGGGACTCCCAGGTGGAAAGCGTCCCAGGCAGTGACCTCAGGAGGAGCACTTGGCTACAAAAAGTGGCTGCTGGCAAAAACGTGCCTCACGGGATGAAAAGGCACCAGTTCCTGGAGATGCACAAGCTAGACTGCGGCCATGCCAGCCACATGAGCTACGCCAGCCACAGAGGCCATGCCAGCCACAGAGGCCACGCCGGGCACACCAGCTATGCCAGCCACAGAGGCCACGCCGGGCACATCAGCTATGCCAGCCACAGAGGCCACGCCAGCCACAGAGGCCACACTGAGCACATCAGCTACACCAGCCACAGAGGCTATGCTGGGCACACCAGCTGTACCAGCCACAGACGCCCCACCAGCTACATCGGCCACACTGGCCGCACCAACCATGCCAGCCACTGGTCGCAGCTCTGGAGGGAGGCCCAGAGATGGGGAAGAGCCAGCAGGAAGGCCCTGTGGCCTCTTTGTGCTGGGGTGAGCACAAAGCAGCTACTGCGCTGCTACTCTGCAGTAGCAGCAGGCACCAGCCCTGGGCACACAGCTCAGCTCTCTCGGGAGCTCCTCTGGGTCCTGCCCTTGAGGCCTGCATGGCCCCTACGGGCCCGCGTGCCCCCTCTGGGCCCGCGTGCCCCTACTCAGCAGGGCTGGAAGGTGCTAACAAGGCCAAGGTGAGCAAGGCGGCCTGGGCACCATGGTGCCCTCCACCCTCCCCTCCACTCAGGAGCGGAAGGCCAGGGCCCCCGCCACAGGCCTGCTCCCCCTCCTACTAAGGCTACTAACACTCCTACTAAGCTCCCTACAAGGGAGCGGCCCAGGCTGGACATCCTGCCCACCGCGGCCGCCCTCACGGGCCCTCTTACCCGCCCCTGGACCTACCCCCTCCGCGCAGAAACATCTCCTTAACCTCCTTCCTAGAAAGCGAGGCTAGGCCAGTTGGGCAGGGGCCGCCTCCCCCGGGCCCACGCTCCCCAGGTCGGGAGCAGCCTTCTGGGGCTCCGGGCTCCTGGGTCCAGAAGGTCCCGTGTCTCTACCGCACGCTCACTTGTAAGTACATGGAAACCTGCCCCACACAGTCCTTTCGGTCAGAAACCCCCGGGCACCCCCCACCCACGCGGCCATGGGGGGCCAAGGCCACACAAAACCACACAAGAGCAGAAGCTCCACCATCGCTGCTTCTTCCTCTTGACTGAGCTGTAATTCACGTAACATAAAGCTGCTTCAAAGTGAAAGCGTGCTGGCACTTAGGACATTCACAGAGCTGTCAACTTCCATCAAGCTCCAAAACATTTTTTCACCCCCAGGTAACACTCCTACCAAGTGGCTTCTCTCATCTCTCAGCCCCCAGTGGCCACAATTGTTCTCTGTCTCTCTGGATTTGTTTGTTGAGACATTTCTATAAATGGAATCAGACTTCTCACGGCTGGCATCCTTCACTGACCATCACACAGTCAAGCTTCGTCCATCAGGCAGCCTCTGTGGAACTTCACTACTTCTCAGAGCTGAGTCGTGTTCCATGGCCCTGTGATTCTATGTTTAACTTTTTGAGGAGTTGCCAAACCGTCTTCCACACCAGCCATACTTCACAGCCTCACCAATACTTGCTATTGTCCTTTTTAAAATAACATTCTCATATGTGTGATGGTATAACAGTGTGATCACTCAGCTAGAGTCAGACATCCTGGAGTGTGAAGTCAAGTGGGCTTTGGGAAGCATCACCATGAGCAAAGCTAATGGAGGTGATGGAATTCCAGCTGAGCTATTTCAAATCCTAAAAGATGATGCTGTTAAAGTGCTGCACTCAAAATGCCAGCACATTTGGAAAACTCAGCAGTGGCCACAGGACTAGAAAAGGTCAGTTTCATTCCAGTCCCAAAGAAGAGCAAAGCCAAAGAATGTTTAAGCTACCCGCACAGTTGCACTGATTTCACATGCTAGCAAGGTCATGCTCAAAATCCTCCAAGCTAGGCTTCAAAAGTATGTGAACCAAGAAATTCCAGATGTACAAGCTTGGTTTAGAAAAGGCAGAGGAACCAGAGATCAAATTGCCAACATCTGCTGGATCATAGAAAAGGCAAGAAAGTTCCAGAAAAACACCTACTTCTGCTTCATGGGCTATGCTAAAGACTTTGATTGTATGGAAACTGTGGAAAATTCCTTGAGAGAAGAGAATACCAGACCATCTTACCTGCCTCCTAAGAAACCTGTATGCAGGTCAAGAAGCAACAGTTAGAACCAGACATAGAACAACAGATTGGTTTCAAATTGGGAAAGGAGGACTTCAGGGCTGTATATTGTCACCCTGTTTATTTAACTTACATGCAGAGTACATCATGCAAAATGCTGGGCTGGATGAAGCATAACCTGGAATCAAGATTGCCGGGAGAGATATCAATAACCTCAGATACGCAGATGACACCACCCTTATGGCAGAAAGTGAAGAGGAACTGAAGAGCCTCTTGATGAAAGTGAAAGAGGAGAGTGGAAAAAGCTGGCTTAAAACTCAACATTCAAAAACCTAAGATCATGGCCTCTGGTCCCATCACTTCATGGCAAATAGATGGGGGAACAATGGAAACAGTGGCTGACTTTATTTTTGGGGGCTCCAAAATCACTGAATATTAAAAACATAGACATTAATTTGCCGACAAAGGTCCGTCTAGTCAAGGCTATGGTTTTTCCAGGAGTCACGTATGGATGTGAGAGTCGGACCATAAAGAAAACTGAGCACCAAGAACTAATGCACTTGAACTGTGGTGTTGGAGAAGACTTGAGAGTCCCTTGGACTGCAAGGAGATCAAACCAGTCAATCCTAAAGGAAATCAGTACTGAATATTCATTGGAAGGACTGATGCTAAAGCTGAAACTCCAATACTTTGGCCACTTGATGGGAAGAACTGACTCATTTGAAAAGACCCTGATGCTGGGAAAGATTGAAGGCAGGAGGAGAAGGGAACAACAGAAGATGAGATGGTTGGATGGCACTGCTGACTCAATGGACATGAGTTTGAACAAGCTCTGGGAGTTGGTGATGGACGGGGAGGCCTGGCATGCAGCTGTCCGTGGGGTCACAGAGAGTCGGACACGACTGAGCGACTGAACTGACTGAATGAATGAATGACCAATAATGTTGGGCATCTTCTCACATGCTTGTTGGCCATCTCTGTATCTCCTTTGGAGAAATGTCTACTCGAGCCTTTTGCCCAAATTTAAATTGGGTTGTTTGCTCTTGCTGCTGCTGCTAAGTCGCTTCAGTCGTGTCGAACTCTGTGCAACCCCATAGACGGCAGCCTACCAGGCTCCCCTGTCCCTGGGATTCTCCAGGCAAGAACACTGGAGTGGGTTGCCATTTCCTTTGCTCTTGAGTTGTAGGAAGTCTTTATATATTCAGGATACTAGATCCTTAACAGATACACACATTTTCTCCCATTCTCTGGTTATCTAGTGACTTTCTTTGGTTTCTTTTCTTTTTTCTTCCTTAATGAGGTGCCTACACCAACACTGGTCATCTGCTAACAAAATCCAGAGCCAGGAGGCATGGGGAGATGGAGCAGCCTCGTGTGGACTGGACGTGCCAACCAGAGGGTAGCCCCGCCCAGAAGGGAGAGAACTCAAGGCCTCCCCCCCAGAAAGCAGAGCAGCACTGAGGGCAGATGCAGGGCCAGAGGAGGGCAAAGACCTCGCTGTGGGCAGATCTGTGGGGAGCAGGCCCCCACCCACACCTGGGATGGGCTGAGTGGTGACTGTCCCCACTCCCACCCCATGAGGCGCCGGGGACACTCCTGAATGAAGACCCGGGGGCTGGGAAGGCTCTGTCCTTCCAGCTTTCTCAAATCGACCACCCGGCTCCCCTCGAATGCAGCCCAACACACCTCCCCAGGCCTTGGTTCCAGGGGCTGGGGCAGAGACCCTCGCCCCCACCAGGTGGGTGAGGGGCCACTGGAGGGAAGCGCCCCTCTGAGCTGACCTCAGGCTCAGGCTCAGGGCCATGGGGGCAAGCCCCAACTCTGCAGGGTGGAGACTCAGCAGGAGGTGAGTGACCCAAAAGCCAGAAACCTAAAACACCCGGGACAAGTCCAACAGGAGACACCCTGACACCTTAACAGTGCTGAGGAAAGAGACACAAACAATGGAAAGTCAGCTAGTAAGGCTGGGTACTGTTAAGACGGTGTTACCCCCAAAGTGACTTGTGGAATCGATGGAGCCTTGACGGAAATCTCAGCAGGACTTTTTGCAGAAACGACAAGCAGTCTAGACTTTATGTGGATGTGCAGGGGATCGTCAGTCAGAGGGCAGAGTTGGAGGACTTACCTGACTGACCATAATCCTCTCGGAGTTAAGTGTTCCATTTTGGTTTGGTTTCAGACAAAGATGGAAAAAGATCAATGGAGCAGAAGAGAGGATCCAGAAACAGACCCACATACTTTTGGTCAATTCACTTGACAAAGACACTAACGAAATTCAATAGGAAAAGAAACTCTTTTCAACAAATGGTGCTAATCAACTGGACAGCCGAGAAAACAAGTAAACATCAATCCTTACCTCACACAATACCAAAATTAGATCAAAACAGACTGTAGGCCTAAGTCTAAAATGTACCATAAAACTTTACAAGAAAATACATTAGAAAATCTTGGAGACCCTGGAAGGAGTCCTGGGACTCTCAGGGCACACACTAAAAATACTGTGAAAGAAAAAAATGGTAAATTTATTTTTTTCAAAAAATTTAAAATGACTTTTGAAAGTCACCATTAAGAAAATTAAAAGGGGAGCCATAGATTAATTGGCTAAAAATATTCACAAGAGCCTATATACAGAACACTTAAAGAAGTTTCACAATTCAACAAGAAGACAAACAGCCCAATAAGAAGACAGATGAGTTATTTAGACAAACTCTTTACGGGAGAAGCTCTGTGGACAGCAAATAAGCACAGGAAAGGCCATGAGCACCATTCCTCACTGGAGAAATGCAACATAAAGTCACGATGAGCCTCCACCACAGCCGGTCGGGGAGCTGAGACCAGGACGGACACCCAGGCGCTGTGAGGAGGCGGATGAGCCCCGCGCCCTGCCACCAGCAGCATGGACAGCAAAGCTGCTCAGAAAATCATCTGTCTGGTGGATTCTCAGAAAGCCGAGCCCTCCTCGACTGCACACGGACTCAATCCCACCCAAGAGAAATGAAGGCACACACCCGAAGACTCAAACATAAATGTTCACAGCAGCTTTGCTGGTGACACCCCAACCCGGGACCCACCCCACTGTCACTGGAGATGAGTAACCACACGTGGTTCAGCCACACGAGGGGCACACAAGTGCGGAGGAAGCTACATCATCACGACAGGGGACTGAAGCTCCCACATGGAGAAGGTCCCCTTTGTGGAAAGTCCCAGGAAGTGCAGATCCGCCTGCAGGACGGGGGCACAGGCAAGGTCGCCTGTGAAGCCGTGGAGGAATGGCAGGCACAGGAGCCTCAGACGCAACAGAGCCTCGCTAACCTCAGTTTCAGGAGGGCCTTCTTGAGCCACCCCGAGTCCCCACACGGATCAGACCACGTGCAGCGAGCACTCTCAGCCCAGGGCGCTCTGGTCACAGCCAGTCACAAGAAGACAGAAGTGGAGAAAAGGGGGCGCCCCGTTGCTCACATACCTCTGAGCTCAGAGTGCAAGGTGCCGCCCCCAAGAGCACGGGGAACTTCACCGCCACAGTTACCCCTCACGGCGGGGGGCGGGGACATGGTCACCCCTCACCGCGGTGGGCAGGGGGCAAGGACCCGGTCACCCCTCACGGTGAGGAGCGGGGGCCCAAAGGGGACGGGGGGGGGGGCCCGGTTGCCCCTAGCGGCTGGGGGCAGGGACCCTGCAGCCTGCCCTGCTTGCTCAGCGTGGGCCCAGCCCTGGGCCTTGGGGGAGCACGTTCTCACCTGGGCTTCTAGCGGGTTCCACCTTGCAGTCCATCTATGGCAGGCTCCAGACTTTCTTTGCCCACCCATAGCCCATAGCCTCCGCAAGGGGGCAGGACTGCAGCTGGCACATGGGGCTCACGCCCTGGTACACATCCCAGCCGCCTCCCTGGCCTCTGCAACCCACAGACACGGGTGCCCAGAGAGGCCGGCAGGGCCATGTCCACAGGCACAGCTGGGTGAGTGTGTTCAGGGGTCCTCCGCCTTCCCTGAAATCACAGAGCTGAATGCCCAATACCATGACAAATCAGAGAGAACACTGCTCATCCAACAGAAATCCTGGGAACCACCAGCAGCCACAGGGAAGAAGAAACAGATTCAGAACACACACCTTTCACCAGGAAAGACTCCAAAGGCTCAGAACTTCCAAATGTATATTCAAGATCTTCTAGGAAAATTCTCATAAACTTGACGCACGGAAGACCTTTCTAAATGTGACATAAAATTAGCCACAAAGGAAAAGATTAATAAACTCAAGTACATGAAAATTAAGTGCTTTTTGCATGGCAAAGAATACCACAAGTGAAATAAAAACTGGCGGAAAGTATGTGAAACATGTTCAAGAATCTGTATCCCCAGTGTACAAAAAGCTCTCACAAATCACGAAGCACAAAAACATAAACAATCCGATAGAAAAGTGAGCGAAAGCTGTCAACATACAGTCACAGAAAAGGAGACAGCGTGTCTGACAGGCTTGTGTCTGAGAAAAGCACCCACATTCCCCAAAACCGAGGAGCACCATGCACTGGCAGGGCTCAGCTCCAGCACCGGCCAGTGTGGTGACACCTGTGAAATCACAAACGCCACACTCCTGGTCTGAGCAACGCCACTTGTAGGAACACACGGGCCTGTTGGGTCTGGCCTTGAATCACCTGCTTGCAAGCTGATGAGCTGCTGCTGGCCACCAGTCCTGGCCGAGGCACCAGCTCCCCAGCTCAGCAGGAAACTCACTGCTCACAGCACAGCAGGGTGCGCCCCTCTGTCTGCATCACTGACCCGCGCCCCCAAGTCCACAAGGGTGACACAGATGTGGCCAGGCAGGGGCTGCAGTGTGGGCTTTGTGTCAAAGCCAAGGAGTCCACCACTCCCAGCGTGAACACTCAACGAGCCTGCTCAGCCCATGAGGAAAAGCCAGCACGCGGCCAGGGCAGCCGCCTCTGCAAAGACGGGGGAGAGTTCAACACGAGGCCTGATGTCACAGTAGACACCCGTGAGACAGCTTGAGCAGGCGTTGGCGGAGGGCTGGGGCCCACACACCGTGGTGCGTCCTGAACTGCTGGACAAGGAACCCTCGAGGAACACTGTCGCAGGCTCACTGCCAGGTGTGCAGACACGGCTGGCCCCTCGTGCACAGAGGCGGGGAGCTGCCCTGATAAACACTGTTTTGGCTGGTTTGGCTGCTCTCAGCCCCCAGGTGTGGACGCGCCCCCCTGGATCCTGGTGGACACGCCCCCCTGGATCCTGGTGGACATGCCCCCCTGGATCCTGGCGGACACGCCCCAGTCCCCAGATCCCAGGGCACACAGCTGTGTCTCCAGGTCCTTTCTTTTCCTATCTAAGAAGACAAGTGTTCTCACCAGAGCAGAGGAGCTCAGGACATTGCCCGGCCTCTCCCTGGGCATATAGCTCTGCTGTCCCCCTGCCCCCCGCAGACTAGGCCGCACACTTGCCCCCAGCCCCATCCCAAGGTCACAGAAGCAACACAGCTGACTCAGGTGACAGCCACTTTCCAAAGTCCAGCCTCACCAGTCTTGCAGCCCGTCCTTGGGGCTGGAGGGGTCCCCATTCCTGTCAACCTCTCACGGGTCCTGCAGCCCCCAGGAGCTGAAGGGTTGCCTGGGTCACAGAAACCTGGACACCCACACAGACACAACCGCAGGTGCACACACATACACACACCAACAGAGCTGTGTCACACACAGGAAGTGACACTGCACATGCACACATATGATCACACACACACACACACATACACATAGCCCTACACGGTGGATGCATCACAGAACCTGGCCCCAGGCTCTGAGGGCTGCTCTCTGCAACCGGCCGGCCACTTGCAAGACTGCAGGGTGCCCGCATGGAGGCTCCGAGCCCCACTGGGCAGCCACAGACAGGGCTGGTGGGGGCCACGCCTGGGGTACCCCCCAACTCAGCCTCCTGGAGGCTGGGAGGATGAGCCTCGGTCTCCTCTCACTTGGGGTGAAGCCCAAGGGCACTGGGGTGTGTCCAGCTGGAAACAGTCTCACCCAGGCAGGGGGGGTACCCCTTGGCCAGACTTCAGCTGCAATCAGGGCTGGGAAAGTGGCCCAGGGTCCTGCCCCCACGCCCCGCAGCCAAGACCCCAAGATCCTGAGGGTGCCTGGCCCTCGGGAAGGCCTGACAGAACCCTTGTCTCACTCGCTTTCTTCCTGAAATTCACTTTTTCTAATGAAAACACAAGGCCTCCCCTCCGTCAGCAGCCGTCAGCAAAGACATGATACTTTACTGTTTCTGAACGGGTTTCCTGCGTTTCCTCCCGGCGTACAGGCACTCCCCCGGTGGGATCATCATCTCGGGCCCTAAAAGAGAGGGAGCATCAAGTCGGTCACACTGAACGGAGCCGGGTGTCCACACAATGCCCCAAGCCCTGAGGCAGCGGCCAGGGCGTGCCCACCCAGCGAGGCGCGCGAGGGCACAATGCCCGGGTGTGAACCACGGCCCCCAGGCCCAGGCCCCGAGCGTGGGAGCAGGCTCCTGCCGCGCCCCTTCTCCACGGGTGGCCTCTGGGCCCCCAGGGTGGCCCAAGGACCCTGTCCTGTCACCACATTCCTGAGAAGACAGCCCTGTGCTTGGAAAGCTCCCGGCAGGTAGACCCCATAAAGCGACTGGAAACAGGAGTCGCTGCTCCAGCAGGACACTGGGCCGCGGGCACAGAGGGCTGAGCGCTGGGTCGGGGCTCCGGGCAGGCGCCCCCCACCCCCGCTGCCTGTGGCCCATCTGTCCCCTCCCAGCAGCCCACCTCCCCCAAGGTCTACACTTCTGGGCACATGGGCTTCCTCTTTTCTATGTAAAATCTCTCTCGATGCCACCACACCGGGCATCTGCTTTGGCCACTAACTCAGAGCTGCACTGAGCCCGCTGACCACGCCTGGTGGCCGCCACCTGCAGTGTGGACACAAACGCCGGCCAAGGGAGCAGCCCCGTGACTCTGGTCCGAGGCTGGGCAGCCTACCCGTCACCTCAGGACACACGTCAGAACCTCGGTTTCCCGTGCAGTGGGGCTGAGCCTCACGGACGCCCTGCAGACCAATGACCCTTGGCGTCAGGCTCCGCGCCAGCAGACGCAGAGAGGAGGCCAGCAGCCCTGCCTGGCCTCGAGTGTCCAACCTGGAAGAGGAAGCAGATTCAAACTCATGACTTCCACCCTTTCCTCTACGTTCAGCAAGTGATGTGACAATGCCGGAAACATGCCATGAATCCACTCTAAGCATAAGAAACACACTTTGACTACTGGCAAAAGTAGGTAAAGTGAATGGATCAAAAAAGATACACCAATCCAAAGTCCAGCTGGAGTAGCCATGTGAATAGCTGAGTGAGCGTCAGACAAAGCTGACTTCAGACAAAGGAGTCACCAGCACGGACAGGGACGTCGCGCGAGGATGGATGGGCCCATGTTTCTCAATAACAATGCACCACCAGAGCTTCAAAATGCATGAAGCAGAAACTAAAAAAAAAATGAGAAGATAATTCACCAGTGACTTCAACATTCCTCTCTCACTAATTGATCATTGCTGTTCAGTCACTCAGTCGTGTCTGACTCTGCGACCCCATGGACTGCAGCACGCCAGGCCTCCCTGTCCATCACCAACTCCCAGAGTTTACTCAAACTCCTGTCCATTGAGTTGGTGATGCCATCCAACCATCTCATCCTCTGTCGGGCCCTTCTCCTCCTGCCTTCAATCTTCTCAGTAATCAATATAGAAAATCAAAAAAGTTGTGGAATATCCAAAAAACAGACATAGACTAATTGAAGTATATATAGACCATTTCACCCAACAACAGCAGAGTCCACACTCTTTGTAGTTGGAACATTCAAGACAGACCATATTCTGAAACGTAAAGTAATCCTTAACAGACTTAAAAGAATAAAAATCATACAAAGTATGTTCTCTAATAATAATGGAATTAAACTAGAAACATATTGGAAAATTCCCAACTATCTGGTATGCAAATAACTACAGGTAAAAGAGAAAGTCTCAAAGAAATTTAGAAGTATTTTGAACTGAATGAAAAAAACAACACATCAGACTTTATGGAGTACAGCTGAGAAGTACTTTGATGGAAACGTACCATTAAATGTTTATTGTAGGAAAAAATTAAAGGTTCCAGGTAAGTAACCTAAGCTTCCACTTTAAGTAACTACAAGAAAACAAATCCAAATCAAGCAGAAAGGTGGAAATATCAATAAAACTTATGTTTCTTCTGTTTGTTGTTTTGGGGTTTTTTTTTTGACCTGGAGGCATGTGAGATCTTAGCTTCCCAACCACAGATCAAACCTGCACTCCCTGCATCGGAAGGCAATGTCCTACCCACTGGATTGCCAGAGAAGTCCCTCAGTGAAACTTAAAACAGAGAAACAGAAAAATAAACGAAACCAAGAGCTGGTTCTTTGAAAAGACCAACAAAATTGATAAACCTCTTGCCAGGCTGATCAAAAAATAGAGAAGAGACAAATTACCAATATCATGAATGAAAGAAGGTGAAACAGAAGAGGACCCTATGGTCCTTGCCCCCTACCAATTCCTCTATCTGTCTTTTGTCTGCAGAAAACTTTAGTCAAAGAATAAGTTTAATCAGAGAAGTGAGAAATGCAGAAACAAAGGAGAACAGTCAGAGACTAAATAATAATGCAGTCATTAGCACAGTCAAGGACCTTTAACCCTTTCTCAAAGGCTATATATAATATTCTGAGCCATATCCTGTGAGCCGTCTTATAGACACTAAAACACCAGATGGAGAATTTAAAACTACATGATGACCAGACGGTACCCATGAACTGGCCTCGAAACGGTAACAAACTGACCCTGGAGCTGAAAATTAACTGTACCTAAAACAACCAAGATGATGTTGGTCAGACCACTGATGAAGATGGTGAAGACCACCAATTTGAAGACGACTGTCAGAGCTGACTGTGCTGTTTCTGCTGTTTCTGCTGTTTCTGCATGTAGAAACCCACCCCACCCCCCACCACCATCACTTCTGTCTATAAAAGCTCTTGCCTTGCTGGTTGCCAGTAGGGGGTGGGACTCAGCCTTTGGACAGACATCTGCCATCCTCTCTCCGTTCCAGCTGCCAGCATCTGAAATAAACTTTCCACCAACCTGGCCTGTTTACTGACTTTTGGGCAGCGAGTAGCCAGACCCCACATACCTTTTGATAACAGATTTTGCAGCGAGCAGCTGGACCCCACCTCACTCTTTTGGTAACAAAGGGACATCACTACAGATACCACAACCATCAGAAGGAAAACAAGAGAACACAGCCTTGAACTTAGCTGTGTGCCCTGCAAGTTCACGTGTTAAAGCCCTGGTTCCACATTTGACTGTCCTGGAGATGGGTCTGCAAGGAGGCGATTAGGGTTAAATGGGGTCTTCCAGGTGGAACCCTGCACTGCCAGAACTGTTGGCCTCACAAGAAGAGGGAAAGAGAGGACAACACTCTTCACTGCGTGCGAGCTAAGCAGCCCCTTCTCACCAGAAGTCAGGTCAGCAGGCACCGTGATCTTGGACTTCACAGCCACTGGAACTGTGAGAAACAAATCTTCATTATTCACAGGTGCTGTTCAAGCCCCTGGGTCAGTGTGTCTTGTTGTGGCAGTCCAGGGAGATTAAGGGGCGTCCCTGGTGGCTCAGATGGTAAAGAATCTGCCTGCAACGCAGGAGACCCGATTCAATCCCTAGGTCGGAAAGACCCCCTAGAGAAGGGAAAGGCAGCCCGCTCTTGCTTGGAGAATTCCATGGACAGAGAAGCCTGGCGGGCTACAGGCCACGGGGTTGCACAGAGTCAGACATGACTGAGCGATGAGCACTGTCACTACAGAGACTAAGACAAACACCCCACAGATTCCACAGCTCAGATGGGATGAGCCAGTTTCCCGAATGACATAAACTGCCAAACTCACCCAGGAAAAATAACCTGCTGAGCCTGTATCTACTCCTACGACAAACAAAAGCAAAAGCCCAGGTGGAGTCACTGGTGAAGTCTACCAATTTAAGGAAGAAGCCATACAATTCTCTGCAAAAATCTAAAAATCAAATTTAAAACTGACAACTAATTTATTTAAGTTCAGCATTCCCTGATACCAAAACCAAAGATGTTTTGAGGAAACTATAGACAAAAATCATCCCTCATGAACACAGGCACAAAAATCTTCAACTAAATGTTAGCAAATGGGAACCAGAAATATGTAAAGAGCATAACATATCACAAATGAGTTTTGCTCAAGGAATTCAAGAAATTGAGTATAATTCACTTTATTTATGAACAAAAGAAAAAAATATATGGTCACCTCAACATATATAAAATGCATGAGGCCAAATCTATGTAGAATGATTTTTAAAACTCTCATTAAACTAGGAATAGAAGGAACTTAATTAATCTGATAAAGTGTTAGTCACTCACGTATGTCCAACTCTTTTTGACCCCATAAACTGTAACTCACCAGGCTCCTCTGTCCATGGAATTCTCCAGGCAAGAACACTGGAGTGAGTTGCCATTCCCTTCTCCAGGAGATCTTCCCAACCCAGGAACTGAACCCAGGTCTCCTGCACCGTAGGTGGATTCTTTACCAGCTGAGCCATCAGAAAAGCCCAACCTGATGAAAGGCATCTACGAAAAGATGTGCAGCCGACATCACACCTAACAGTGAAAGACCGAATACATGCCCAGAGACCATGAATACAAAGGTGTCTTCTGTCATCATGCCCCTTAACCTTCACAGACAACATGACGGTACACACAGGAAATAATAAAATTTGGCTATGACAAATCTCTTATAATAACTGAGTTCAGCGAGGTCACAGAGAAAAAGGACAATATAGAAAAGTCAACTGTATTTCCATACACTAGCAATGAACAACTGAATACAGATATTTAAAAAAACCATACCATTTACAATAGCATCAAAATAAAAATCAAATATTTAGATATTTCAAGAGGCTTAATATGTGTAACTGGGGCCCTAAAGAATCGGAGGACAAAGGAGGTGACAGAAGTAAGTAATAATAGCAGAAATTTGTCCAAACAGTGAAAATTGCAAACCTACAGATTCAAGAAGTCAATGTATCCCAAGCATAAGAAAGAGGAAAAAAACTATACAAGGCACATCAAAGTCAAATCACTCACAACTAGCAATAAAGAGGGTAATCTTAGAAGCTGCCAGGGAGCACAGTGTTGGACACAAAGACGTACAGGTAAGTGTGGCCACAGACGCCGCCAGAGAAACACGGATGCAGAGGACTCAGTGAGCCACATCCTTAAAGCACTGGAGAAGAAGGCATGAAAGCAGA